GGGGCCGGGGTGGAACGCGGGGCACCTGCGAGAGTCGTTTCGCGCCTCGCGGCTCCGGCGGGCGGCCGCGGGCGCCGAGCGGTGCGGGGCGCTGTGGGCTGCGTTCCGCGCCTCGCTCTGGCCGACGCGGTGGTCCCTGGAGTCGGCTGCGGACGAGGGCACGGTCGCGTGTGCGGGTCCTGCCCGAACGTGGAGGAAGGGATTGGTCAGCGCGTTGGCGCGGTTTGGCTTTCTCCAAACATTGGAGCGGTCTGGCTGCCGGGAGCGGCCGGGTGTCGCCTTGTGTTCCTCGAAGGGGCGCGGGGCTCAGCCCTCTTCTGGGCGACCCGTGCCCTATGCCGTAGGTCGATGGCAAAGGCAATGCCTGTGCCTTGGGTACGTCACCTTCAGAAAACTTACAAATGGTATAATATCTGTTAAAATGTGTATCATGGAGAGTATGTGTATACCTAAAGGAATTAATTGAAATTTTACACATTTACTGATAAACCGTAGCACAGTTGTGGATAGCTTTACTAGCTGAAGTGTGACAAACCTGTTGATGTGCAAAAAGCTGCCTTAAAAAGAAATGTGTTTAAAATGTCTTTAATGTCTAAAAAACAAGTTTTAAACCAGATGGCTTGTTGCTTTTATGTTATCCGGAACTTAGTTTGCTATCGTCGAAGATGAATGAGTCTCATTTTAAATAGACTCGTTTTTGCCGGATTTTGAATTTATACAATGAAATTTGTTACTTTTGCATAATCCAGTCATAGTTGAGCCTCTCAGAAAAGGTTGTAGAATCTGCAATTATTTACTTTCTGGGAAGAGGTGAAAAGACAGAAATCGGCAGGCTGCTGGGTACTTACCCATGTCCTTTTGTCCTGCACAGCCCTGTGAAGTAGGTATTATTCCCACCTCATAGGTTAGCAGATGGAGACACAGGTTAAATATCTGCCTAAATTGAAATGGAAAAGTTTGTAGTCTGGACCCGAATTTCAAGTGTTTCTGACAAAAGTCCAGTTCCCTGCATCATGCCATGGTACTTGAACGATATAACTATTTACAAGAAAAGCTTGTTAGTTTCCCAATATCCAGGTGCAATGTGAGTGAAAATGACGTGCTATGACTCTAAAAATGTGCTCTCAGTGTGTTCTGTGATATATGGTTTTGATGGGCAGATGTGATTACTCAATACCTACACCCAACAGTGGATGTCCTTGCTATCTCTGTCACTCATTGGTCCAAGCATGTAATTATTTAGTCCTCATAACTCCGTGAGGTTTTTACAGGCTTTAAAACCATGAAAGCACAGACATGTTAAGCATGTTGTCCTAAGTCATACAGCTAATGAGTGGGGGAGGTGAGACCAAACCCAGATATTCTGGACACAAGCCTAAGGTTTTAACCCTATTTGATGCTGACTCTTATGTAACTAGACCTCTGTGACATTTTCCTTAAAAGTATTAAATTTGTAAGTTCGCTCATCATATTGGGGGACATCCAGATGGGGAGATGGTTGATAGGGTGTCTTTGCTTTTGGGTGGTAGAACTTGAATTAAACCTTGGTGTTGAATACCTTGTCCCCAGTGGAGAGACAGCTAGATAGTGTGTGCTGAGGCTCAAAGAGTGCAGGATCAGGGTTGATTTGCAAATGTGGCACAGATGTCGGGAGTCCAAGGGGAGACTCGGTGCATACTGCTCTGTGTCTTTGGCCACGTTTTTTGTTTTGTTTTGTTTTGTTTGTTTGTTTGTTTGTTTTTGGACAGTTTTGAGAATGATACAAGCAGGGAATTGTTGGAGTATAAGAGCTTGTAAATGGTAGTTGGCAAATTTTGTCTGCAAAAGTCCAGGTATATGAGACTTTGAGCAAGAGGGCAAGTGGTAAGAGGTGACCTCTGCAAGGTGAGCAGAGTCCTCGTACATAAGCAGCTTGCAGGCCACGATAGCAGTTTGTATTGTATTGTGCTGTCGTTACAGAAGGGATTCCAGGTGATTTTGTTGTTTAAAATGTTTATTTGAGAGAGAGAAAATGAGTGAGCGACTCTACTCCTGTCCACTGGTTCACTCCCCAGATGACCACAACATCCAGGACTGGGCCAGGCTGAAGCCAGCAGCCGGAAACTCCATCCAGGTCTCCTATGTGGGTGGCAGGGGCCCAACTTACTAGAGCCATCACTTCTGCTGGCCAGAATCTGGATGGGATGTGAGCATCCCAACTGCTGACCTAACCACTAGGCCAAATGCCCACCCCCTAAACAGTTTTTTATAAATTGCTTTCAAACCTTTAAGCCATAGAAATTCTGGTGGTATGTAAACTTTTTCAGAATATAGAAAGAAATGGAAGGCTTCCCAATTAATTTTGCATAGGAATTTGATGCCAAATTTTAATAATAATGTATCAATATTGGTTGATTAACTGTGAGAAATGTGTCATTGTCACTACTGGAAGATCATTGGATAGAGATGCAAACAATTTCTAACTAAAATACCAGTGAATGCTGCTATCCATGATCAGCAGGGTCCCTCACCCCAAGAACATTATGAAAGACATTAATATGTTGGGTCAGTAGATCAACAGATAAAAATCATTTGATCATCTGATATCAAAGGTCGTTTGGCATTATTTATTATTGTTTCTGGTTTTAAAATCATGTGCAGGGCCGGCAGGATACTTCTTCAGTGTGCTGTAGAACACCTGGCTGGCCCTGGCTGGCCCTGACTGCCCTCCTTAGTAGAAAAGAGCTAGAGGTGACTCTGTAAATGCAGATACGGTTGTTTCTACTTGGTCGCCCCATTGTTTCTGCTTGTAGGATTTTATCCATAGAGAACCACTTGCACAGGTGCAAGACTGTTTTGCAGTGTTTTTTGTGAGAGCAAATCTTTAAGGATAACTTGAATGTTCATGAATTGGGGACTGGTTAAAGTGTATTTACAGGACATGGTATATCTAAATGTATTGATTTGGGAAGATTTATTCAACCATAGATTACTTTGACCTGTTTTTGAGCTTTATAGCAGTTGAGTAATGTGTTATCTTTTATGCCTAACATTTTCATTCAAAGTGTGGTTGTGAGAATCCTCCTTGCTGTGTGCAGCAGTAGTTGGTTTGTTCTCATCACTGTAAGTCTTCCTTCATATGTGTATACTACAATTTAATTACTCATAGTGTGTATTAGTTTTATAACCAGAAAAAAGTAGTTTAAAAGTAAAATGTGCTTTGAGTTTCAGTTCAAATTGAAGGTATTTTGTTAACTTGAAAACTTTTATATAACATTGATCTGCATTTATCCAACTTGACAGCTAATTCTCCCAGCTCCTTTTGATTTCTTTCATTTGGGTCTCTGGTGATTAATATCTCCAGTGTAGAGTGCGAGGGAAACAGGAAAGAGCTGGAACTTGAATCCCCGAATTGTGCCCCTGCATATTGCTCTGGCTGGCCAAAGTGAATTAGCTTCTCATGCATGTGCCCCCCTGAGTCACTGCACTACAAGCATTCAGATCTCCAGTGTAAGACATGTGGTGGCAGCCAACGCCTCATCTGAATTCCAAATTTCTGTGATTTGGGACCTTAGCCAAACTGTCAAATTGGATTTTTTTTTTGGGGGGGGGCTCCTATTTCACACGCATTTTTTGGATCTGATGTAAATTCAACAAATAAGGCAATGATAATTTCAGAGCTGGAATGAGCCTTGGAGGTACGCTCAGGATGCTCACCCCCGGCAGACAAGGAGGTGCTGTTTCTAATGATGTGCCCGGTCCACAGAGCAGTGGGGCCAAGCTGGAGCAGAGCCCTCGCTCCCATTTGGGACGCCCACTGCCTCCTAAGTGCAAAGCCCTCCTGAGCTCCTTTCCCAAAGAGTTAGTTAGCCACTACACCCTCTAGTTCCTGCGGACCCAGCGTTTACCCCGTAGGCTGGCCATTGCAGAGCATGCATTTGCCAACTGCGAGTTGGTGTTTGATCTGGATTCTTATGCCTCGTCACGGGCACTGTAGCCTTTGGGTTTTTAAGGACTTGTTCTAAATTGCTGTGCCTGCGTTCTTGTTTTGTCACTCTCACATCCACCCAGGACTCCAATCAGAGGTGGCATTCTGAGAGCATGTCCGTGTAAAGGTGACATGGGTGGTAAGCTGTGAAGTAACTTCTGTATGCATTGCTTTTCAGGAGTAGAAGGTTTGCCAGTCTTAAGTGACCAGGCAGTTTCACAAATCAATTCTCCAGCGAGTTTAAAAATAATTAGGCCCAACTCAGAGGAAGTGGATTCTCTGCTGTTGCACAAAAATGATGTCTAGCGGCGACAGTGAAATTGATGTGGTTTGTATTTCAAATTGAAAATTTGTTCTTTTTATTGTATTCCTTTTCGAAGTTAAGCTTCATTTCATACTGTACAATGCATAGATCTTCAGTGAACTTTTTGTCCTGAGTTTTGTCAGTGATGTAGAAAGTATGAACATTTACACACATATCTCTTTGTGAACACATACTTACATTTTTTCTTTTGGGTAAATTCTTAGAAATTGAATTGCTAGGTAGGGGAGTTGATATAAATTTGACTTTATGAGAATCTGCCAAGTAGGTTTTCAATCCAGTTGTGCCATTTTGCTTTTCCATTTTGTTGTATTTCTTAATCTTCAAAGTTAAGCCAAAATATAGATTATTAAACTATAGATAATTTGACTTAACAGGAACCACATGTATTTAAATAAGGCCGTGGATATTAATGGTAGCTAAGTAGTCTAGGCAGCTCTCTTCACTTCTGTTAATCCTAACGGTTTTCCTCTTTGGAGGTACTGTTAGTCACCTAGCAAGCATGAGGCAGTATTCAAGGGCATGTACACTCTTACAAGTACCAATCTATAGCCCAATTCCACATTATTCTGCCTATCTAATCAGTGCAAGGCTAATTCCAGTTATTTCTGTCTTGTATTTTGAAATAAAGACATTCAGAGCTACCATATTTGTTTATTTTAGAATTTTTCCTGGAGTTTATACTTTATTCATAGAATAGGTTTATTATACTGAAATATAGTGGTCCTTTACTGTCTGTTTACTCATGTATACCTTCTCTTATTCCAAAACTTTTTAAAAAATATTTATTTATTTGAAAGCAGAGTTACAGAGAGGCAGAGGCAGAGACAGAGATGGAAGTCTTCCATCTGCTGGTTCACTCCCCAAATGGCCACAGCCGATCCGAAGCCAGGAGCCAAGAGCTTCTTCCAGGTCTCCCACATGGGTACAGGGGCCCAAGCAGTTGGGCCATCTTCTATTGCTTTCCCAGGCCATAGCAGAGAGCTGGATCAGAAGTGGAACAACAGGGACTTAAACCAGACCTATATGGGATGCCAGCACTGCAGGTGGCGGCTTTACCTGCTGTGCCACAGCACCAGTTCCCCCCAAAATGTTTTAAGGTGATATGGAGGTGAATAATGCATTGAAAAAAATAGTTGCTTAACTGTTTCCTATCTTGTCCACAGAGTGGCACTGTGGGATTATTTAAAAATCAAAAGCCACCTAACATCTAGTTCTTTGCTAATGGTTAGAAATATTTGTTTGAGTGTACTTCTGGTGCTGGAAGACTAGCTTTTGTGCCCTGAAGCACATCAGGGTTTAAGCTCAGTGAGAAATGGGGCCTTGGCAATTGTTAGGGTAATGAGAGCCCAGTGTTACAGGTCCATCTTTTCATGTCGTCCTGTCATTTCCAATGAGCACTGGTTCTTTGATAGGCTGTGGAGCCTCTTGAAAGTTATATTGAAGTCTTCAGTTTTGCTTTTCATTCCATCTTTCATTTTTCCTATTCATTTACTAATACATCTTCCTCAGATAAAGACACGAATATCTACTTGTGATGCTATGGACAAGGAGGATAGCACTGTACTTTATGCATTTGAACCAAACCCTGCCTGTGTAAAGAATGTAAGTAGTACTGGCTGCTGGTGACCAAACACATCCATACTGAACACTTGAAAGACAAAGAGTTCAATGCGCGAAAGACAAAGAGTTCAATGCGCCATATACCACGGAGAACCTCTACAGTGTCTCTCTCTCTCTCTCTCTCTCTCTCACACACACACACACACACACACACATCCCTTCTGCTGAATGTGGGTGCTTTCTTTCCTTATACAATGAAGACCTAGCCTATTTACTGCCCTCCCCTTTTTGGCTTATATAGGAGGAAATTCAGAGCAGTTCTGTGCTCATTTTCAGTACAAGACTCTGAACCTAGATTCTTTTTGAGAAAATGAGTTCTTTCCCTTTTCATAATTGACAATCGTCATTTTCATTCTCAAACCAATGCGAATTTTTATTTGACCTCTGCTTTCAATTAAGACTTCTGTAACCATTTGCAAAGTTGATAAAACCTTAAAACAACTGAAACGTCTAAATACAAAGTGACGTTTCTCCCTAGTAGTCACTTGGGCTCTTACGAAGTGAAGCATTAACTACTTACTGTTACAACATCAGCAGGAACCAGCTTTTATGTCTGAGGCAGTGAGCCCCAAGGAGCAGCCCAAAACAATGGTGGATGTCCTGAGCCATTGCCAGGTAAGAAAGCTTGGGCTCTGCAGTGCGGTGCTGCAGAATCCTAATTGGAAATTCTGTTTATTTCATGTTAAGAGTCAACAAGTAATGGAACTTTTGCCATGTCAGATTATTCACAGTTACCATCCCATGGTGATGATTCTTAACAAGTTTGAGTTTCTAGGTTAAAATGTAATATAGCAATATAGAGTATATAGCAATATAGAGATTTTGTACCCTTTTTAGAAAAACAAAAGCCCATTCCTGATCCATTGTAAGCTGTTTCTCTTTCATTTAGACTGGTCAATATGGAGGTATTTTTCCCTGTAAAGTCTTTAAAGGAAATTGACTGATTTGGATAAAATGAAGTATGCACTTGAATGTATATCAAGATGCCTCAGCTGAAACAAAATGTCAGGCTGCCCATGTCCTTTAACGAGTATATTTTGCATGGTTTTAAGTGGTTCATAAACTAGCTTTCTGGCAGAGTTTATAATTATCAAGGATTTTGTGAGCTGCATACCCAGGAAATAATGAAAATTTATTTTAAAAAAAATGTTCCTGGCCTTTAAAGTTCCATGAATGAAATGAACCAACATGCTTTGAAAAGTAAAAACGTTAGCAGGAGCTTTCTCAGTGCCACTAGGGGGACCCAGTACAGCGTTTACCGGGCTCCCTCTGTCCTGCTGGGAAGGCCCCACAGCGGTGCCCTGGGAGGCAGGGAGGGGCTGTCCCTGGCTGCTGTGCCCCTTGCTCAGGCAGCCTCCATGGCTGCAGCTGCTCATCTTTCAGTTCTCACCTCAGGCATCACCTTCTCTGAAAAGCCTGCCACAGCTGCCAGCCTGGGGCAGGTCCCACTCTCATGGGAGAGCTCAGGCTCCTGGTCTTCCCCGTGTCGTGGCACTGCTCTTAACAGCACTAATAACAGACCGCTGAGCACCGCTGGGTCAGTCATCACGCCATAGCTCACTGTCAGTGGTAACACAACACCAGAGCCTGGTGCTTTTGTCCTCAAGACAGCCCTACGAGCTCTTTCCATCCTGATTCTGTACATAAGGGCATTGAATCACAGAGAAGTTGAGCAACTTGCCCAAGGTCACACAGCTAGTAAGCAGCAGAACGCTAGCCTCTGAACCCCGTTGTGTCCCCCAGCACCCGTGCCACTGCCCTCAGTGCCACAGGCCAGTGGCTCTCACACTTGCACACACATCACAGTCACCCAGAGGCCTTGTTAAAACCCACATCGCTGCCCCCACTCTCCCGGCTCCTGCATCCGTGGGTGTGAGTGGGCCCAAGAGTTTGCATTTCTCACAAGCTTGCAGGGGATGGGACCACACGTTGGGAGTCATTGTTCCCGGCGGTTGGCACTTTGTTGAAATCTCCTCTTCTTGTCTCTCTCCTCTGCTAAGGTGACAGCTCCTCTGGGACGGGAGCTGGCTTTGATTATCGTCCCTGTTCCCAGCACCAAGCCAAGTGGTTCTGACAAGGCTGGGCCCTCAGTAAATGTTGATTACAGTGAATGAGTGAGGAAATGTTTCTGGCCTCTTATTTGAGTGTCTGTCTGGCCTGATGTTTGTGTACTTCAAGAAGAATCCTCGGGTTTTTCTCTGTCGCACGCCTGGTGGGTGCTGGAGGGGCAGTGCTCAGTGGTTTTGCAAGGTTGGTGTCGATCACCTGATTGAAAACCGCTCAGAATCCCGAAGTCACCTTCATCGGGTGCTCTTTCCGGTGCAGGGCTCCCCCGTCTCTAGCTCGTCAATCACGATGTGCGAGTGACTCTCTGGCCCTTCAGCAGACTTGCCCATTTCTTTCCTAAAGCCGCCCCTTCCTTCTGAGAAGCGCGGTGCTTTGGAGCGCTTGTGGCACCTGCGCTTCCCAGCTCGTGGGCTCCTCTCCGTGCCTGCACAGGGTCGAGGAGGAGAGAGTCGGGGTCCTTCTCTCAGCCAGTGTGGTGCTGTGTCACCCCCAGCCAGGCACCAAGCAGCCGACCAGAGGTCTGAGGGCTCTGGTCGTGTCTAGCGGCTAAAGTCTGCCAGAGTGCTATCGTCACATGTCACTTTGCTTGTTAAATAGGAACTACTAATAGTGTGTATTATAATAGGTTATATATGATGCCATTCAAAGCCTGGAAAAGAAGTGTGATGTCATTCATGGAAAGATCTCAAAAATCCATCGCCGGCGCTCCAGGATGTTTTGGTGCAGTCGTGTAAGTATTGGAAAACTCTTCTCCCAACTGTGACGCATCTCCAGTTTCTAAAGATGCCAGTCAGCTAGAAGGGATAGAGAACTAGTAACTGTGAGATCAGGAAGGCTGAGCTCTAGCTGCTATAGCAGCAGATGGGGCCTAAAAACTCTGCTGGAAGAATGCTAAGTTCAGGCCTCATCAGTTGTGATGCTGAGTGCTTTCATGTTGGTCATCATCACGTATAAACTGTAGGTAAAATATAGGCTTGAAGAGGAATTAAAGTCATATAGCCAACCTAGAGCATTTGAAAAATAACATGAAGCTGTATTGTGGGCAAAAGTGAATAGTAATGCATTTACTACTTGTTTCTTTTTCTACTCACTGCTGATTCATGCTGAGTTTGTATCATTTCAGAAGTCTCGTGGCTATGCCTACAAGTGTTACGCTATCCCGTTTTTTAAGAGAGTGAAGCTTCAGAAAAAGGAGAAGAAGGAGACTATTGGTTCATTCTCTTACCCTGTTAGTTACAGCCCCACTTTACCGGTGCAAAGGCCGGGAAATGATTCCCAGCTCCGTATGTCAACATCCATTCCATCTCTGGATGACGGGGGCGACTCATATATCAGGGAGCCCGATGAGCCGGAGCCGGTCCTCAGGGAGAGTCCATTTCCCTCCCGCTTCCCACGTTCATACCCGCAATATTTCTCGGATGAGCCCCTACCGAGCACTTCTGCTGCTGCTCCTCCCCGCTGTGGCAGCCCCGGGAGCCACAGCATCGCCAGTATCTTCTCTACACGGGCTTCTGCGCTGCCCCCTAGCATCATGGCCTCTGGCCAGCCTCCGCCACCTCCTCTGGAGACTAAACTTTCCACTTCAGGTGCCTGCTTCCCACCTGGTTTTGGTGAGTTTCAAATGACATTCATTACAATTAGCATGCTTTGAATGTGCATCCATCAACAGCCTGGAGGCAAGCTGTGAGGCCCTTTGTTTCTTCTTGAGAGCACTGCTTTTTGGTGATATTCATGATGATGTCTAACTGTTCTTGAAGGCACATTATGTGCAAGGCACTGTGCAGACCCATGGGCCTGGCTCTCCTGCCCTGGTACTCATAATGCCCTCGGGAAATTTTTAATCTTCCATTTTTCTTTATCTCTTTCCCTGGAAATAAATAGCTTAAAATATTCCTGGAGTGACCATATCCCAGATGATAGGAGAGACAGGGTATACCTTTGCCTCATACACACACACACACACTCGAATTTGTGTTAATGGTTCTTGGATAGAAAAATGAATCTGGGGGCCAGCGCCCTGGCTCACTAGGTTAATCCTCTGCCTGCAGCGCCGGCATCCCATATGGGCGCCAGGTTCTAGTCCCGGCTGCTCCTCTTCTAGTCCAGCTCTCTGCTGTGGCCTTGGAGGGCAGTGAAGGATGGCCCAAGTGCTTGGGCGCCTGCATCCACATGGGAGATCAGGGAGGAGCACCTGGCTCGTGGCTTCGGATTAGCGTGGCGCCGGCCATGGCGGCCATTTGGGGAGTGAACCAGTGGAAGGAAGACCTTTCTTTCTGTCTCCCTCTCTCTCTCAATGTCTATAACTCTACCTCTCAAATAAATATAGAACGTTGGGGTGGGGGGAGCCATAGTAATCCATAAGCTGTACTTTGGAAATTTATATTCATTAAATAAAAGTTAAAAAAATAAAAAAGCATAATTTAGATATGTCTAATCTAATTTCAGCTGAGTAACAGAACTTTTGCTATGTTTGTGGCTGAAGAGGCCTTGGATTACTCCATCTGTTTTAGGATTCTTGAAGCTTTATGGGTCTGAAGCTGCTTTTTTTTGGCAGGAGGGGTGAGAGGGGATACTCTTATACACTTATCCTCAGATCACCTTTATTTAGACTTGTACTAGATTTCCCAGTTGGAGTCTTGACTGTTTGCTTGGGTGCTTAAGAGAAGGTTCCAAGAATGACACCATTACTCTCTACTAACATCTCTTCTTTCAGCATAATGATCAGGTCAAGTATGACTTGTCTTTTTCCCTCCCATTGAAGCTACAAGTTCACCAATTGAACCACACAACAGTGTCTTGAAGTCAAACTTCACTGATGAACCTTCAGGCTGGTCTGTGGAAGAAGTGATCATGTTCCTGAAACAAACAGATTCTCAGGCAATATCTCCCATCGCTGACCTCTTCAGGCAACATGTAATGCATCTTTTCATCCCCCTTTCCTGCCATAATACCTTTGAGTGTTGTCTGTGCAGGCCCTCATCTGGGTAGTGAGTAGTGTGGATGGTGGAGGAACCCTATTAAGGCATCTTTCCGTACATGAGAAAGGTCACTTTGCCAGAGAGTGGATCCTTACGGGATGGGTCAATGGTAGACGGCCTCAAGCTCTCACGTGCTGACCAGTCAGCATTGCCACTCCCAGGTGTGCCACCCCTTTGTGATGACAGAGGCAGAGATCCTCCCTGTTCCCCTGCTCAGTCCCAAGACCATGAGTAGAGGGGGTGGCCACAAGCTGTTGCAGGGTGGCCTTCTTGCTGCCATGCCTAGTAAGTCCAACAGCTGATTCCATTTAGCATGATACAGTTAAGTTTTTGTGGTTATTGACAGTTTTTGATGCGGATACTCTCATGCCATCACCAGACCACTTACAAAGTAACCTCATTGGCTAAATTTTCATATGTTCTAATTTCTTCAATTTCTAGTTTTACTTAATAGAAACAGTATAGAAGGTGCCTGACAAAGGTAGTATTACATTGGATTTCAGTTCTTTTTCAGAAACTGAGACATGATTAAAGTTTTATTTTTAAACTGGAACTTGTGAAAATCAAATAATATGCTTCAGCAGTAAGATGGTCAATTGAGATAAGCAAGAATTATGACTATCAAGTCATTTTTTTAATTTTTTTTTATTTTTTGACAGGCAGAGTTAGACAGTGAGAGAGAGATAGAGAGTTATGGAGACAGAGAGAAAGGTCTTCCTTCCGTTGGTTCATTCCCCTAATGGTTGCTCCGGCCAGCGCTGCGCCAATCCGAAGCCAGGAGCCGGGTGCTTCCTCCTGGTCTCCCATGGGGTGCAGGGCCCAAGCACTTGGGCCATCCTCCACTGCACTCCCAGGCCACAGCAGAGAGCTGGACTGGAAGAGGGGCAACCGGGACTACAATCAGCACCCATATGGGGTGCTGGTGCCACAGGTGGAGGATTAGCCTAGTGAGCCACAACGCCAGCCTCAAGTCATGTTTTTTAGCATGTCCTAACGAGTAAGATATTGGACCACATCCTGATGTGCCATTTTCAGTATGGTAATACAATTTGTGTCTGATTAGCTTTAGACAATGGACTGGTTTTCATCATAAAGACACCAGTATATAGCATACGTATGGTTTGCAGTGATGTTGATGGTCTCCCATGATCAGCCCTTTGCAGAAAGCTAATGACCATTTGGAATCCAGTTCTACCGTTTATAGATTTTCCTCTATTTGTCATAAACATGTAGTATTTAGAACTAGGTAGTTTGACGTAGTGCATTTTTAAGATGTTGGATTAAATTTTTTTCTTAAAATATGCAATGAATTGATAAATTATCAACTGGTATTTCAGTGTATAAATTATATTTGAATCATTTTCATTAAAATAGATGCTTATTTAGGGAACACTTGTGTATATGGAATTATCTGCTCTCGAGTTTGTTTCACAGGTCCTTTAATATAAAGAAATAACTGTTCTGATAAAATATGAAAATATCATTAATTTCTGTAAGTCTCCTCTCTGCAGGAAATCGACGGGAAGGCTCTGCTGCTCCTCTCGAGTGACATGCTGATCAAGCACATGGGGCTGAAGCTGGGCCTGGCCGTGAAGCTATGCCACAGCATTGAAAAGCTTAAAGAAGAAAAATGCAGCAAGATTTGAAAAAAATGTATATTGGTTTATACATTTGGGCTTACCAGTTCTTTCTTGAAGTAAAATCATTTTTCTGCCCTTAGTTTTGTTTCATAGAAGGTTTCTCTAAAAATATATCCATATTATAGCCAGAATTTCAGAAATATGTTATAGTCTAATTTAAAAGCCACTTAGCATGTTAGTTTCTGCATATTCAAATAGGAAGTTCATTCTTTGTCTTTTTATTATTTTCACTGAGTAGTTTACAAATATACTTTATTCATGGAACAGCAAAAACTATTCCGTTTTGGTTCATCCTTATACACAGAACCAAAACAGCTAAAGAGGAAATATCGGGGACTGACAACTTTATTGATACTGATATTTTATCTGACTTATTCTGCAGTTTGCTCTTCATATTCTACAAGTTTCCAGAAATAGTCATTGAAGTTACTTTCCTTTCTATTATTAATTATCTATGTTTTAATTAAGATTTAGGGGGAAAATGAATTAAATTTAAATTAAGATTTAGAGAAAAGAGTACATAGAGTTTTGTGAAATATTCTTCCACTTTTGGATAGCTTATAGATAGAATGGTTGTTTTATGCAAGAGACATTGCACTGTAAGGGGATTTGGATGGAGTCTGACTACATTTTTCTTTCAAAGAAAGTACATGTTTTAAAATTGCCATATTACCAAACTTGGACGTTTAACATTGTTCAGATCTCTCTCTGAAGATACCTGTATATGTCCAGAATTTTAAAAGGTGTATGTTTTATCATATGTGTGTGTTCTTCATGTGAGTACTGCTTCATATTTATATCTTATTCTATATTTGACGTATGCACACAAGTAAATCTTTTACCATTGAAAATGGCACTTTGCACTGCCACAGAAGTAAGGAAGCACTATGTATCAGTGAGAGGTTTTTATTCTGTAAAATACGTGTGCAACATCTGCTGTCCCCAGCACGTCTCTGCTTCCTCCTAGTTTTTCACTTCCTGCTTTGGGCTTTATTTAATAAGTTAGGACTTCAAAGAGGAACATAGTCAACAGTATTATTTAGTTATTACTCATTATTGCTTTGTGCTTAGCCTATTATCTCTTGTTATTACATCGTTTAACTATAGGTGTAATGTTTATAAGCTATGAGAATTTGGTGCAAATGGTATTAAACTTCTGTTACAAATGCCAGTAAAATGTTTACCAGGGGAAAGAATATAAATTTTCTTTATAGAAACCAAATGTATTTTATACATGAATGCAACTATTTAAAGAATGAATTCATCTGCTAGCTCTTGTATATGAGTAGCTTTTTCTTGTATTTTATCTTTGTTCAGATTGTTTTGATGAAGATGCTGTGCCCAGCTGAATATTCCTCAGGTGTTTGTATTAGGTACCATCTTCCAATTTTTGGATTTTAAAATATAATAAAGTTAACCACAAAAGTTACTGTCAAGGCCTCAGATTTCATTTCACTCTCTTGCGTTAATGCATAAATTTGTTAAAAGTTGAACAAAGCAATTCTAGCAAGTATTTAGCATTTTTATGTCCAAATGCAGGTTTTTGATTGTACTCCCAGATGCCTGGAAGCAAAGGGCTGATCTCTCAAAGGGGCCTTGGAGCTTGTAAGGAATTAAATCCATGAGCTTTGTGCTCAAAAACTTTGGTACTTACAATATTGTCAATTATGCAAATATGCTAGAAAATGCCTGTGCCCACCACCCCCACACACACACCCGATTCCTCATCCCACCTGAGTTTGTGCATCTGGCTGGCAACGCTGGCTGCTCTTTACCATGGGTGACCAGAAGCCATCCCCCAATACACCTGCCGTCACCTCAGATGACACAGCTTCCACAGCAGGATCCCCTGAGAGGATCAGGGTTACAGCCTTGCTTCTCTGTGGCATCTCCTCTAGTTCACTGGAGACGATGGAGCCCGGCTGGAGGCTCCAGGGATGATGCTCAGTGGGCTGCGACAAGGCTGTCAACTGGAGTAATCAGAGTTGAGTGATACCACACCCTTTTATTGCCTGTTTCATAAATTTTTAGTCCAGACACTATCCTGTCGGCTCTATTGTCCTTCTGAGGATTTTGCAGACTTTCAGAATGATCTTTTCTCTTAGTTGCCTCTCAGTGCATCCCTTGGCCCTCTGTCACCCACAGAAGTCTACAGCTTGAGCTCCAGGACCTTCTGGGCACATCTAGTGTTTGTTTTGGGCTTTGGTCTGCGTGACTTGGCGTCGTCGTGATGTCTTACAGTAATGTGATTTCGCAGACTTTGATACCCAGGCCACTCTCTGGAAGGATAATAATGCCGTGCCCTTCCGTAGTACATGAAATTAAAAGGTAAATTCTGTGACAAGTTAACAGTAGAATTGGAAGGGAAGGCCCTGTTTTTTTCAAGCTACAGAAGGGACAGTCCTCACCACTGCCTGAGTAAATGAAGTAGGTTTGAGTTGCCAGATTCTTTCTACAGCCTGATGCTGGCACTTGCTTACAACGTCCTCTGAGGCTGCTGCAGACGAGGGCTCCAGGATAGACAGGACGTACGAACAGGGCCCACCTTTGCAATGCATTGTGGGGAGCAACTCGGACTAGACTAAGTTACTGGAATTAAGACTTATTCTGTGCATCTGCTCTCCCACAATATGGCGCTGGGAGAGGAGTAAACAACTTTTACACAGCTGCCTCCAGTTCGACCAATAACCTGCAGGAGCTGATCCTGCTCCTGATTGGAGGAGAGCAGCGTACTCAGTGTGTGGGTAGCAGAGTTGGAATTGGTGGAAGAGGACTATAAAGGAGGAGAGAGACAACATGCACCAGGAACATCTAAAGGGAACATCCGGATAACATCTGAGCAGCCCCCGAGAGAGCCGGCCGGCGGTGTGCCGCTCCCCCGCGGAAGTGGGGAAAGTGGCAGGGGGAACCGCCCTTCCACGGAGGTGGGAGGGATGGCAGCCAACCCGGGAAGGACCAGCAGCAAACCCGGGAAGGGCCGAGCAGACGAAAGAACAGCGCAGGGTCCTGTGTCGTTCCTCCGCGAAGAGGGGGAGCGACAATGCATGGCAGTTAGTTCCTTTCCTCTATTTCACTGTTGTTTGCCCTATTTTGTTTAGCAGATAAAGGAATTGAACCCAGGAAGTGCCTCTCCATATTAAGCACATACTCAGCTTGCGCTTGGCCACTCTATCTGCTGTCCACAAGGCAGCACTAGTGTTGTGGGCTTGCCTTGTGACTTTAGGGAAACTCAGTGCTGAGGATAGATCCTTAAGAAAAAGGGACTCAACTCTTCCCCTTGAGCTGCCTCAAATGTAATTGGTGTGAACCAACATTAATGGAAAGGAGACCCTCAGAATGCTTGAGACATAGCCCCAAGTTACAAGAAGTGATGTGTCACAATGCATCAGCAATTGTGTTTCCTGCTCTTCGGCCAAAGAACCAAAGCACTTAGGCACATTCAGTTGTGGAAATAATCCCTCAGAGCCGGGGCGGTCAGGGCAGGGTTACAACCTCTACCTCTGGCCTCACTCCTCCATCTACCTTTGGAGGGTCTTATGTTCAAAGACCACTGGTGCCAGGCGGTGTGCATAGTATGGTCCCAGAGCTGCAGAAGTCAGTCCACAGGGAGCAGGACAGATACATTGTCCCTTCCTTTTATATCCCCATAAGGTGAGAGGAATCAAACTTCTACAGTTAATGTACAGATCCACAAACATATATTGTTCTGAAGAGCTGGACATCATTGATAGTGCTGCCATCCCAGTCTTTCCAAGTTCCCCATTGTCTTTAGAGGCATGAAGCCTGCAAGTGGCATTTCCCGCACTCCTTTGCTAATAGAATTGTGTTCTCAGATTCTGCCACAAGAGGTACTCAGCATGATTTTGGAAGGAGGAAGGTAAGAAAGACAAAATGTCCTGCAGCTAGCTACACAACACAGGCCTTAGAGCATGCATGAAAGGCAGAGATGGGGTTTGCCAGAAGCCTCTGGATGTCATCTTGAGATTCACACACTTCAGTTGTGCAGTCAGCCAAGACCACTGGGGGAGCTTCCCTGCAACCCTTGCACTCCAGGATTTCTAGAAACTTCTTCACCTTGGGCCCTGGCCTTTAAGCAGCTGTAAAAACTTCTGGTCATTCTGAAGACTTAGGTTGGCTTGTGTATTCCTAGCCAGAACCTGACTTCACCACTCTCAGAATATCTTTCCCATATAGATTATCCACTGTTTCAAGGGAAGAGAATTTCCATAGAGAGGGGCTTTTATATGATCGAGTTGAAATAAACCAGAGTATTTATTTTTTTGAAGATTTTCTCTTTTTTATTTATTTGAAAGACAGAGTTAGAGACAAGAGGAAGAGAATCTTCCATTCCTGGTTCACTCCTCAAATGACCACAATGGCCAGGGCTGGGCCAGACCGAAGCCAGGAGTCAGGAGCTTCTTCTGGCTCTCCCACATGGATGCAGGGGCCCAAGCACTTGGGCCATCCTCTTCTGCTTTCCCAGGCCACAAGCAGGGAGCTGGATCAGAAGTAGAGCAGCCAGGTCTCAACCAGCGCCCATATGGAATGCCAGTGTTACAGGCAGAGGCTTAAACTGCTGTACCACAGCACCAGCCCTTAAAACAGAGTATTTGATAAAAGCTAAGACCCCTTTGCTAGTAAAATGCACCAATATTTATGAACTAAATAAGGAAGATTCAGACTACTCCACCATCACCATCAATTATAATTATCAAAACAAATGTCATAGATGTTAAAAGGTAAAAACAAGGGGCTGGCGCTGTGGTGCAGTGGGTTAAAGCCCTGGCTTGAAGCGCCGGCATCCCATATGGGCACCGGTTGTAGTCCCGGCTGCTCCTCTTCTGATACAGCTCTCTGCTATGGCCTGGGAGAGCAGTAGAAGATGGTCCAAGTCCTTGGGCCCCTGCACCTGCATGGGAGACCGGGAAGAAGCTCCTGGCTCCTGGCTTCAGATCGGTGCAGCTCCAGCCATTGTGGCCATCTAGGGAGTGAACCAGCGGATGGAAGACCTCTCTCTATCTCTGTCTGTAACTCTTTCAAATAAATAAAATAAATATTTAAAAAAAAAGGTAAAAACAAAATAAGAAACATGATTTAAGACATATACAATGTTATTTTCCAAAAGCTGAACAGGTGATTTTTTAAAGGATATTGCAAGGAAACTGAGCATGGAAGACTAACAATGTAAACTCGAGGGAATAGCCAGAAGATGGGAGAGCTCATCTGAGCTTTACAACAACCATGATTCAAATGAAAACAAAAGCATTCTAATAAGAGCTGCCAAAGATTCAGTTATCAAGGAGACTTTGAAATGTGAAATTAAATCCAGTTTCATAATCAAAAAGCCTTACCACAAATACTTATTTTGTCTTTAGGTTTGGCTAATACTAAGATGAAGCTATCACATTTAGCAAGACATTAAACAAGTTCCTCTCATCCAGTAAGGGAAAAAAGAGGGAGCTGGAATGACTACAGAGTAACAGTTGTAAGAGATGTCATCCACATGCAACTTACATTGTTCAGATCCCGATTTAAAGAAGTTAACGGTAAAAAGGCATAAGTGGGACAATTCAAGAAAAGGTGAACACCCAGTGAGTATTAGATGATGTTAAAGAGTTATTTACTTCTGATAGTGGTGCTGATGGTATAATTTTATTTTGAAAGGGTGGTGCCCATATCTCTTGGAAATGCATGCTAAAGTTTGCAGATCAAGTATGAGATCTAAGATTGCTTTGCCACCATGCAGCAGGGGAAGGGGGTCAGTGAAATGGAATTGGCTTTGTGTTGATATTTGTTGAGGCCATTGACACATGCATGGGAATCAATTAAACAAATATCTTTATTGTTTTATATGTTTAAAAATGTCCATAGTAAAAATGTTAGGAAAAGTAGAATATGAAGACAAAAAGCAAGCCACATTCAATACAGAAAATTTTAGTAAATGAACAATAGTTACATTTCTTCATTGAAGTTTCTTTTTTTAAGATTTATTTATTAATTTGAAAGGCAAAGTTACAGACATTCAGAGGCAGAGAGAGACAGAGAGAGAGAGAGAGAGAGGTCTTCCATCCTCTGCTTCACTCCCTAGATGGCCCCAACAGCCGGAGCTGCGCTGATCCAAAGCCAGGAGCCAGGAGCTTCCTCCAGGTCTCCCATGTTGGTGCAGTGGCCCAAGGACTTGGGCAATCTACTGCTTTCCCAGACCATAGCAGAGAGCTGGATTGGAAGTGGAGCAGCCAGGACTCAAACCGGTGCCCATATGGGATGCTGGCACTGCAGGCAGCAGCTTTACCTGCTATACCACAGTGCCGGCCCCTGAAGGTTCTTGATATTAGCCAACAACAACAAAACTACCCACCGTTAAGAAACACTTATTCTTCCTGATGTGCTTTAAGAAGGAAAGAAGGTGAAAGTAACCCAGTAAAACAATATGGGGTAGAGCATCAGCTTGCTTTGGCCAGCAGCTACCAGTGGGAGGCATGTAGAGAACATCAGGAGGAACTGAAGACACAAACCCTGGGTGAACTGCAGTGCTGCAGCCCTGCCATTCTGCTGAGGGAAAATACAGATGTGACCCAGACGCACCAG